AAGCTATTTGTGGCTGAGTGGTTAAAGCATGTCAGGTCAGATGGTGGTTTCTCCTACAAAGGCGGGTATAGGTTCATATATTAGGGTTATGACTTTTAGTCAAAAATATAATTGATTTCCTGTATTCGATGAATTTTTTCAAAAATAATGAATAAGTGTTTATTTAAAAAAAAAAAATGTCACCTGCAACACAAAATTTCTAAACTCATATATAAGTATAGTAGTACTATGATTTCCTGGAGTCATCAAGAATTTTATGGAACTTTCTAGAACTTGTTTTTATTTATTTTTAAGTTTGTATGTTATGCTATAGCTATAAACTTTTAAATGCTTTAAATAATAAATGAGTAATATTGAATTACAGGATTAGCAAATTCAAAAAATAAAACCTCTGAAATATTTTGATTGTTTTATCCTTACTGTATACATGGTAAAGTTGAATTTTCAGTTTGGGTGTGACCTTTTTCAAGAACTAAAAAAATGAATGTCTTTTTCATTACTTCTGAACAAAAGTTCATTGATTTATGACACAGGAACATATGATTACAAAAATGTTGTAACTCTTATATAAATGTGTGTATATATATATATATATATATATATATATATAAATATAAATATATATATATATATATATATAAATGTGTGTATATATATATATATATATATATATATATATAATAAATATATAAATATATATATATATATATATATATATATATATATAAATAAATGTGTATATATATAAATGTGTGTGTGTATATATATATAAATGTGTGTATATATAAATGTGTGTATATATATATATATATATATATATATATATATATATATATATATATAAATGTATATATATATATATAAATGTGTGTGTGTGTGTGTGTGTATATATATATATATATATATTATTTTTTTAACGTTGTTATTTTATTTATAAATTGTCGGACCTTGTCCATTTCTTAATATATATATATATATATATACATACATACATAATTAAAAATTTTCTGTTTATTTTTTCTGCAGCCCCCATTATCTAACAATGATTTTCCTAAAAGAATTCTTTACCCCTTTTTTGTGCTATTTCTTTCCTCTCTCTCTCTTTTTTTCTTTTTCTCTTTCATTTTACTTTTAGTGGCAATCTAGCTATGTTCCCACACTGATTGTTACTTACAAAAAATAAAATCTTTTAACACTAATACCGCCCCCACCCCTGGTCCTACCAAACTTTTTCCTCCCCATGTTCAACATCTCACTCCCCTACCAGCAACCACCAATCCCAATTTTTATATCTGAGGTTATTTTCACATTAAGTTTCACACAGCCAGAAATCAAACAGCGAATAGATTTTTTTATAATAATTCCAACTATAAGCGGACACTACCCACCTCAAAAAAATAATGTTGGATAGTTTCTACCGTCCCTCTGTTTATTTCTCGCGTCAGATAATGAAGAACACAAGCATGTTTGAAATTTCCGAACATGGAAACTCAATCTCCATACTTCATTTTTATCACCTGGTTTATATTAATAAATGTTTTTCGTACTGATTTCATTGGTACCCTTTCGTCTGACTTTGTTTTATTGACCAACTTATTTACTCTAGAGAATGTCTCATATCAAGAATATTTAACATTGAAAAACATAAGAAAAAATTAATTATTTTTAATAATATGTAGAAATCTCCACTTTTATCTGAAGATGGTCACGAGACCAGAAACACGTGTAGTAAAATTATGGAAAATAAAGCATAATATTTTTTTCTAAAAAAAAACACAAACAAAAACGTTTGCTGCACCTCTCTTCTCTTCTTTTTAATATACATACTTTTCTCTCGTTGGAACCACCCCAACCTCTTTCTTTTTATATATATATATATATATATATATATATATATATATATAGGGAAGAGTCTAGGCACCATAATGAAGAGCTCATCCAAACAATTACCATGAAAGTATTTATAGAAAAAGCAAACTTACTGTGGTGGGAAAGTGACTGAAGACGAAATGCCAGGTCAGGACCAATAATATTGCTGATTCTTCTTTGGATTTTATCAAGGAGCTTTAGATAGATAGTAGGAGCACTAGACCATATGTGGCAGCAATATTCTAAGCATGGATGAATGGTAAACATAGATATTTAAGATAGATTCGGAAGGAGAATACCATCTAGTATGACACTGTGAAGCAACCTTCCTTGTAGCTGACCTAGCAATGGTTTCAATATAGTCTTTCCACTTCATATCAGCTGAGGCCCAAGAAGATTCATTCTCTTTCTCTCCCTCTATTTCTTGTTCACTTTCTCTTGCCCTCTCTTTCTTATTCTCTTTCTCTTCTGCACTAAATGTACCTTTATTTTTTATTCACTTAGCAAATCCTTTCTCTTCTTTTGTTGGTGTGTTTTTTTATTTTAAACTCATAACATGCTTTCTATTTCATTTATATTATGTCTTCGTTTTTCTTCTTTTTTTCTCATTTAAAACTAAGACCCACTATGGCACATACACTAAGATGAATCATCCCCATTCACTTCATATTCCATTATTAAGATGGAAATTCCACTCGCTACGTTGTGGAACAGACACCAAGACAGGATCCTTTATTGACCACTATAACCTTAACCTCTTCAAGTCTAGAATTGACTGTTATCTATCCTACATATCTCCATAAACTTCACTTCTTACCTCCTCTACTTATGCTGAAACAATCTCAGTCATTAAGGCTATACATTGAGTGGCTCTTGGACCTTGTAAAGAGTGAACAATTATTAACAAAAAAAGAAAGAAAATAAACAGTCTTAATTTACACTCACTTCTTTTTTGTGTCATTTAGTCCAGCTCTTGCCAACCTTTTGAACTTCATGGATCACTAAATGTATAATTTTGAATTCGGCGGACCACAAATATGAATTTAGAAAAAAAGGTAAATACATTGATATAATAATAATAATAATAATAATTGGAAAACTTTTATTTCATTAATATGAAATGCACCCATTAAAGATAACAAAGTTATAATGGAATTATTTAAATAAAAAAAATTGAAAATTTGAAGTTTCATAAAAATTGAAATAATGTCCCAATTTTTCTGCTGAGTATCAAAAATTTTGGACCACTGATGAGCAACCACTGATCTAGTCTCTTAAATGGTATCCTCAGTCATCAGTGATGAGAGCAGGTTCTGCCTTCATGCAAATGATTGTTTACACGTGGGATGCAAACTAGGAGAGTCGAATCTTTCAAGAGGGCCTTCACCCATGATACACACACCCGAACCAAAGCATCATGGTGTGGGATGCTTATCTTTTTTTCTTTTTACCTTTTTTATTTTATCATTTCACCCCAAGCAAGGCAATAAAGCCACTAAGACAGAAGAGGTTACTGAATATTAGAGAATATAAGAAAAGAAAGTAATATTAAAGAGAGAAAACAAGAATTAAGAAGACAGAAGATAACATTTTGACATCGCATTTCAATTTTTGAAGATCAAAATTCCTGTTTGTTGTAGATCTAAGGAATGTTTGTTTTACTATTCATCTGTTCCATCCATCATAAAAAGAGAAAATTCATAGTCTGCTTGGTGATAATGAAGCAACTTCTTCTATGTGCAGCGTCTCTTAAAGATGGGGGATCATGACTCTCCACAATATCCTGTCCTTTGTAGTTGTGCTATCTCTCCCAAACCCTATTCTGCTATCCATGTACACAAGTTCATTAAATAGCTTACTTGCTCTTTCCATTTTCCTCTCTAGCCTTCAATATGTCCTGAGAGTGTCAAATTTTCCAAGATCTCTTTCCTCATTAGGTTTTCCAAGAAATTTCAACTCTGAAACAATTTTTTGTTTTTACTGAATTTTTTGTATATAGAATTATGATTATTTTTATACAATGATTAATTCAAAATGATTTTAGTTGTTATAATGGCAACAATTGGAGTAGCGAAAGAAAAAAATGGAAAATTCTTACCTTTGACTCAAAAAAGACAGATTTTGACATGAAATAATTCAATAAGTTTTGTTGATAAATTTGGGGTGGTGGATTCTTTCAGCTATTTTAATATAAATTGGAACAAACACTCTGAAAACTTATCTGATGGCCATAACAGAGAAGGATATTTTTTACTTTTAATCATTTAACCAAAAGCAAGGAGATAAAGCCACTAAGACACAAGGAGTTACTGAGAGTGAAGGAAACAAAATGTTAGTTATCTCTTCTTGATGTTAATTATAAGCATCCTTTTGTTTCAATTTTCTATAAAACTCTGTCATTGCTCACATATTCAGTCCATATTCTCAGCATCCTTCTGTAGAACTACATTTTTGTTCCTTCAAGTCCCTTTATATGTGAGGAAATTTTGAATGAAATTTTCCTGTTTTTCAATACTTTGTTTCGCTTTTGGAAGGCATCTTTTGCTATCTGAATGATTTTTACTTAAACTAACATTAAAAAAATTGAATTTTAAATAATTTCATATCATGTTTTGATTTATTTTATTTATTCATGTTTTTCCTTATTTGTGTAATCTGCATTGTGTCAATACTAATTTTATCTGAACAGTGGTCTGACTGATTGATTTATTTTTTACAGCTTATCAACCCTTTGTGGGTTATGTAAAGCTGAAACATATTTCAGATTATAGGAAGTTGCTTACAGTACTGGGTCTTTCCAAGCAGTCCCCCATCTAAATGCTGACTGGGCTTGATATTGCTTAACTTTGGTGATTGAATGAGAACTGGGTCAATATACAGGATTAATTGAAATAGGTCGAATCCTACGTTAATCATGGGGGATGCATATTGTGATACTTTCAATGGATCTTGTCTGTCGAAATTAGATAGATATGAATGCAGAGACAGACAGACAGACAGAACAATAGAAATGTCCAGAAAATGAGATAGATATGAAGAGACTGAAATAGATAGATACATATGATTAAGATAGGCAAATAGGATGTGATTGAGAGAGATAGATACATATTATTAAGGCAAATACAATGTGATTAAGATAGATAGATAGATAGATAGATAGATAGATAGATAGATAGATAGATAGATATGCTTTAGACAAAAAAGAATCAGATTTAGATAGATATGATTAAGAGAAATAGGACAAGATTGAGAAAGGCAGAGATAGATAGATATGATTAAGATAGACAAATGACATGACTGAGGGAGATAGATATAAACAGATTCAAATAGATAGATAGATATGAACAGACCGAGATAGATAGATAGATAGATAGATAGATAGATAGATAGATATGAACAGACTGGGATAGATAGATAGATAGATAGATATGAACAGACTGGGATAGATAGATAGATAGATAGATAGATAGATAGATAGATAGATAGATAGATAGATATGAACAGACTGGGATAGATAGATAGATAGATAGATAGATAGATAGATAGATATGAACAGATAGATATGAACAGATGATAGATAGATAGATAGATAGATATGAACAGACTGGGATAGATAGATAGATAGATAGATAGATAGATAGATAGATAGATAGATAGATAGATAGATAGATATGAACAGACTGGGATAGATAGATAGATAGATAGATAGATAGATAGATAGATAGATAGATAGATAATCAACAGACTAAGATAATAATGACAATACTGAAATAGAAAGATATGGACAAAATATTTAGATAGCTAATTACAATGTGGAGATAAATAGACAGTTAATGACTACCCTGAGATAGGTAGACAGATATGACCAGATTGTGATAGATAATGACAACACTCTGATATATATATATATATATAGATAGACAGATAAGGTATAATAAAAAGAAAGATGCCTTCATAAAAGAAAGGAGTCAGAATACAGACTTCTGACTCCAAAGAATTTCTAACAAACCAGAAACAAGTAAAGATGATTAAAGTAATAAATTTCTCGTATAATTATACAGTGATGCTGTTATAATTTTTAACAAATATAAAAAAATCCTTTCTCTTCTCATGAATATAAATGAGTGTTGTGAACATTCATTTCGAAAGATTTTCTCTTTGATTCTTGGTTTATGTGTCCATATTTTTGTTGCTTGATTAAATATTCAATATGTTTGGAATCACATAGATTTCAAGATTACATGGAAACAATACCTGGAGATCAATAATGGTTTTAACCTTTTTAGTTAAAAAAAATATCTCCAACTTGTTTCACTCACTGAATTAAACAACGATTCTTCTTTTTTACTTTTTTTTTGCTTGAATGGGAGACATGTAATCTGACAGTGAGGAAGACGTCTTTGATTGGGAATTCCAGAAAATTATTCTGATCAACCTTCTCATCAAGTATGTTGCTTTGCACGCACACAATGCTCACTCCTGTGTCAATGTCTCCAAACACAACAAATGGGGCTCTAACAACTTAAAAGTGAAGCAAAACCTTCATCGTCTAACAAAACTTATAGATATCACACATGCACCAACATATATGTATACACAAATACATAGTGTATACAAATATAAAGGAACACATACAAACATACACAAATACATGTACATACACTTAGATATGCATACACATTTTTTTTAATCATTTCACTCCAAGCAAGGTGGTAAAGCCACTGAGATGCAAGAGGTTACTGAAAGTAAAATATTCTGAGAAAAAACTTCGTTAAGGAGAGAGGATAATAAAAGAACGGGATTCAAGTAGACAGAAGATGATGATTGATGTTGTATTTAAATTTTTGATGATCAAAATTGGCTGGAAAGCAAGAAACCTGAAAAAAGGTTCACAAGTGAGAAGTGTAAGAGAAGAAACTATTAACATTGAACAATTTCAAATGTAAAATGATGAGACCTAGTTGCCAATCTAGTACTGCACTTAAATTCGTAAAGTTGAGGTAATAAAGAAGAAAATTCATCAGAACAATTAACATGGAAGTATTTATAGAAAAGGCAGAGGGAAGCAGTTGGAAAGTGATTGAAGCTGAGATGCCAGAACAGGATAAACAACATTCTTCTTTGATTTTACCAAGAATCCCTAAATATAAAGAAGGAGCAGCAGACCACATGTGGCAGAAACACATTCCAGGAATGGATGAATAGTAAACTTATAAATATGTAAGATAGATTTTAGTGAGAAAAATTATCTAGCTCGATACATTTCCTAGCTTCAGACTTAGCAATTGAGTCAATATACTCTTTCCACTTCATGTCAGTGGAAAATGTTAGTCTTAGAAGTTTCAATAAGTCACTCTCCTGGGAGTTAGCATCAGCCATGCTGACTGAGGATGAAAAGGATTCTCTCAGATGATTAACAGATAGCAGTTTTTTTTAGGAGGGATTAAAAATAACAAACCACTTCTTGCCCTAGTTAACAAAAGATTGTAGGTCATTTTTGAGATCAGCTGCCAATTCAACTTTATCACATTGATCAGGCTTACTATTAAGACAGGAGCAAATAGTTTTCTCATCAGCATAGATACAGAGTTGAGAATTGATGCCACCCAGATGTTCATTTATGAAAATTAGGGACAAGGTAGGTCCAAGGATAGAGCTCTGAGGAACACCTGCATTCATGCTCAAGGATCCAGAAGAGTGGCCATTCAAGATGACATTCCTTTCATGATTTGATAAGAAAAATGGAATCAGTTCAACAATTTATCCAAAATGAAAGGAAAGAGAATAAAAAGAGTATAAATACGAGAAATCAACTGAGCCCCAAAAGTCCAACTCAAGAAATGTATGAGTCATTTACACAGGTGTGTTGTTGTTCTAGGAGTTGTGTTCATTCAGGACATCTGTGATCATGGCTCTCCACAATTTTCTAACTTTTGTAGCTCTTAGTAAGATTTGTCACTGCACTATCTTTCCCAGTCCCTGTTCTGCCATCCAATCACATAAACTTGTTAGGTAGGTGACTCACTTTTTCCATATCTCCCACTTGCCTTTCAATGTGTCCTGTGAGTGTCAAATTCTGCAGGCCTTCTTTCCTCTGTCTCTTTCTGAGTTTAAGTACAAGTATCCTTTTAGTTCCCATTTATTTTTATACATCCTCATTGCTTACATGTTTCATCCATGGTATGCTCAGCATCCTTCTGTAGAACCATATCTCTACAGTCTCAAGTCTCCTTTTCATCTTTTTTTTAATCATTTAATATCTGCAATTAATCATTATCCAAAGCAAGGAAATAAATCCACTAAGACACAAGTAGGTACTGTGAGTGAAGGAAACTGAGAAAGTGTTATTGAATAGAAAGGATAATAACAAGAACAGGATTCAAGGAGATAGAAGGTGACAATTGACATTGCATTTACATTTTTGAAGATCATAGTTGACAGAAAAGTAAAAAACTAGAAGAGAGTTTCACAGGCGGAGAGTGTGAAGGAAGAAACTATTAGAGTAGAACTTATGGTTACACTTAGCAATTTCAACAGTAAATTCATGAGAACTAACTGCCAATCCAGTCCTACATTTAAATTCATGAAGTTGAGGTAGCAAAGAGGAAAGCTCATTAGAACAATTGTCATGAAAATTTATAGAAAAGGCAGAGGGAAGCTATAACAGAGGGAAATTGATTGAAGTATTCACTGCCATAAAGGAGCACTGCATATTATATAGCAGTTCCATATGTAACAATGCCACTCAGTGTTCTAAAACATGTGTGATGTGATCGCTTACAATGGCACTAAATTTTGTTGCTGCATCTTATAAAAAAACAAAAAAAAACATACAGACAGTAATTTGTTGAAGAACTTGATTGATTTCTTCCTGGTTTATTTTTCTGCTCATTTAAATTTTCAAGTGAGAGAGAAAGATGACAAGTGACACTGTCTTAGCAGCAAACTATTAAACTTCCCTCTGCAGAGGTGACATCTTAATTCTTTTAGCAACCGATTGACCCATGGATCAGCTCACATGTTTTGCTTACACTCTTACCCCTCTCAGTTCTACTGCCAATACAAAACTCCCCAGCAAACTCTGCTCTCCCCAATTCATATCCAAAACTCTTCCTTTTATATTTCATCTTCTGTATGTTGGAACACTTCTGGTTCCAAAACAAGAGGCTTCTCAAATCACATAGAAAGGACCAGATTTCTCCTGAACCATCTCAAATTGGAAGTCCTTTCTCATTTATTTATTTATTCATTGGATCAGACTTCTAGCCTAAGCATAACTTGCACTGGTTGATCGCATTTACCTGTGAAAGCTTGGTGTGCCCCTGAGCTGTGTTGACCTTTCTCATTGAGGGGTCGACTTTAAAAGCTTTTCACAGAATAACATCTATTGTTTGGTGACTGAATGACCAGTTAACCCACATGGTAATAATTTCTAGTTTTGCTAAAAATTCCTTTATTTTCTTAAATTAAGTTTTATTTTTAAAAGAACCTAATATAAATTTACACTGACATTTTTCACATGCCACCCATTACATAACACCATCCCAAAGAAATTTTCCTGTTTCCAAATTCTGTTATTTACTACTTCTGAACAAATTACTTATGAACGTTTTGTTTCATGGAAGGAAGTAAATTTTGTCAAAATGTATAAAAATTATTAATGATTCAATTATTGAAAAGAGAAATCAAATTTTATGTATGCAAATCTGTCTACACCTACATACAAATCAATAATATTGCCACACACATTTGAAAATCGATATATGCATACAAATGTAACTTTACTTTTATTTGTATAGATGTTTGATTTGTATAAACACATGTACATAAACGCCCATGTCTACTATATTCCAGTTTTTATCTGCAATCAATAAGTTAAAAAGGCTTGCAATATTTTTCTAAGTGGGACCAATGAAATATAGAGACAGATAGGCAGAGAGAGAAAATTCAGCAAAATGAAAAGATATTTTCAAGTAGCTAAAACACGACAAGAAAACGTAGGTATTTTTTCTCTTCTTTATTCTTTACAGTAGACACAGTGAAATTCTAGCTGTAAAGCAAATGCCATGATTCAATGTTTTTTTTTAGATGTAAAGAACAAATTGATAGAAAAGAAAATAACTTCTATTAATTCCATTTTAAATTGCACTGTGACCATCTGAAGTTGAAAAAAGTTCAAATGAAAAGGAAATATTTAAATTTAATTTATAAATATGTCAAGGTAAGAAAGGAATATTATATCAGTTAGAATAAGAACAGCATTTGTCAAGTTGTTTTTTTGGAGAGTGAAATTAAACTTAGATAAGGTGTTTTCATCATTGTATGTAATCAGTTTGGAAGAATTTTGCCTAAATCAACCATATTGAATAATGAAAGGACCTTATCTAAATACAGACAGATTAAGTTTGAACCAATCATATCAAAGAAAGTAGCCACTTTGACACAGGTACATCATCATAAGCCTATCACTATTCTATAGCTATTTCTTTTTTTCATTTTTAAAGAAGTGTTTGATATATAATTGATCCTGACCTGGCATCTTGATTTTCGTTAGTTTCATGCCAACATGACGTGGCTTCTGCCTTTTCTACAAATATATTTATGGCAATTGTTCTTCAAATACATGAATTTAAGCATGCTACTAGATTGGCAGCTAGGTCTCACCATTTTACTACTGAACTAATGAAATGCACAGCAGAGTAATGGACTGAAGCTCAGGTTGTGAATTGATTTCCAGTTGAGTTCATTACATTCACTTTCATGCAAATACCCTAGGGAAAGATATGAATCAATCTCTTCTATACCCCAGCTATGGGTAAATACTAGGACAGACTGGGTTCTATAGCCTTGGGTGGCAACTAGTCTGAAAGAAGGAAAACTCTGAATTCACAACTATGTAGCCTGGTGAAATGTATACTGTACAGCTAAGGAAAGTATCGTTCACATTGACTTGATGATCCTGACTATGGTTGAAAAAAAAAAAACAAAAAAAAACAGTCTTGGGTGGCCACTGGTCTAGGAGTAGGAAAACTCTGAATTCAAAATTTATGTAAACTTGGCAAAGCACATACTAGAGAGGTAAATGAAATGATCCTTCACATTGACTCAATGATCCCAACTATGGTTGACTCGTTTTTTTAGTAGGATTGAACCATCAATTATATTCTAATAGTTTCTTTTTTTGTGCTTCTCACCTGTGGAACTCTCTTCCAATTTCTTGCTTCCCTAACACCTACAATCTTCAAAAATTTAAATGCAATGTCAATTGTCATCTTCTGTCTTCTTGAATCCTGTTTCTCTATTGTTCTTTTCCTCACCTCTCTTTACTAAAATCTTCTCATCCTCTTTCACTCCTTGTAGCCTCCTGCGACCTAGTGGCTTTATCCCCTTTACTAGAGTGAAATATTTAAAAAAATTGCTTTAAATCCATGTTCCTCTAGAGAATGAAATGTGCTACAAACACTTTTTCACTTTGTCATTCATTTGCCATAATCTTGTAAATACAGAATCAAATAAAGAATATTTAATATTTTTGTTGCCAGTTCTCAAGAAAAAATATAAGAATCCAGTTTGATACATTGGGGTTTTATCAAAGGTTGAAAAATAGTGCATAAAATAAATTCAGTTCTCTGATTTTTCATTTAAAGCCCAACAAATACACAACTTGTACATCCCAAATAATACATCAGCAGTCACAGATCAACAGTATTCAAGATTATAGAGTCATTGTGAACTCCTTACGTTTGTCAAAGCTTGTATAATATATACTATGCCAGGGCTATATACGATTTTGAATTCCAGGTTGTTCTTCTCCTAGACTGGTTGAGACTAAAGATTGAATAACCCACTCTGCTTTACTATTTAATCCATAGTTGGGAAGAGAAGATTTGGATTCATACATTTCCAAGGGTTATTTGTGCAAAAGTAAATGTAACAAACTCAAGTGGAATTCAAACTCAGCCCAACGATGTATCATTGACCACCCAGACGTCTTGTAAAGAATTTGGAAAGAAAAATCTCAATAAGATTTTAGCACTTTCAAAGAAAAGCAACTAACAAACCAGTAAATTGCTTAATTTCAGCAAAAACATAAAATGATAAACAAGTAACCGTAGAATTATATACACGTTAAAGGTCTATCATCAGAAATTATTGAGACAAGAGCTTGACACATCCAAAATGGACGTAACCACAAATACTGGCTTCCCAAAGCATTTTTGGCCACAATTTTGAAAACAGAATATATTCGACTTTATGAGAGCAGAAGCTTAATTATTTATTTCAATTAGTTTTATTCAGAAATTTTTCCTAAATTTTATTTTTCAGTAAATCTCAATATTTTTATGTTAACAGAAAAAAATAAAAGGCCTGAATTCAGGTCACTGTATTAGTGATGTTTATGACAGGTCAACTCTTATGCAATAGAAAAATGCCAGAAATAAGAAATGATATTGCAATTAAATTAGACCAGATCCACCTCAGTGTACAAATACTGGATATGGACAAAATGGAATTTGTCAGAAAGTTTCATACTTTTCATGTTCCAGAATCTCAAAGTTATTTTATTTTCCAAAACTTTCATGTAAATATATTTTAACTATGTTTTTAATTTTAAGTTTTTTATTTTCTTATTTATATTATTTTTTTCTAAACTCTCAGCCCTATCCCTGTCACCCTCAGGCACCTCCTTGTCACCCTCAGCCACATACTTGTTACCCTCAGCTACATTCTTGTAGCCCTTAATCCCATTCTGCTAGCTCTCAGCCCCATCTTTATCACCCCCAACCACATCCTTGTGTCCCCTAGCCCCATCCTTATCATCCTCAGCCACATCCTTGTGGCTCTTAGCCCCATCCATACCAGCCCTCAGCCCTCTCCTGCTAACACTCAGCAATATCCTTTTGACACTCAACCCACTCCCGGTACCCTGAGTCCCATCCTTGTGAGCCTCAGCCTCATCTTTGTGACACTCATTTTTGGGCATGACTGCCACTTTCTGAAAGCACTGCTGCACTTGTATATCAAGAAGACATGAAATCAGATGATAGAATATGTTACAAACAAAATTCAAACCAACAGAAACATTTTCATGAGATTTTAGTGTGGAAAAAAAAATCAAATTACAAAGTGACATCTAGATAATTTGATATGTAAAGTTTATATTTGAAAACTATTTAAAAAAAGATCACTAAGAACATTTCTGAAGAAGGTCTTTGATAAATTTGGTCAAAGATATGAAAGACGACAAGTCATGCATGTTCAATGGATTTCGTCTGAGTTTTTTTTAACATCTTGGAAAATTCAATTAAATCATGTATAAGTCTGTACTTTATAAAGTTAATTATTTTCATCAATTCACCAAGATTTTGACGTTTATTTTTTTTTTTGTAAATGTTTTGAAATTAACTTTTAATCTGAACAGAATTTTTGATTCATAAGCAAGTTGTACTTGTCACACTTTAATACTATCCATTCTTCTTCAATGTAGCATGTCTCTTCTGGATGTTGATAATCATGGCTCTCCACAAGTTCCTTAGTAAATGTTGTCTTTTTGCTATATTTCTTAATTCGTGTTCTGCCAACCAATTACACAAGAACTGCTTCCTCTCTTCCTCTTGCCTTCAATATGTCCTTTGAGTATCAAATTTTCCAAGCTCTCTTTTCTTATTACATAAAATTTCAAATCTCTCTTTCTGATGTTAAGTATGTGTCTATTTTCTATAAAACTCCATCATTTGTGACGTGTTCAAAGTTCCTGGAATTCTCAGCATCCTTCAAGAGAACCAGATTTCTATTACCTCGTCTCTTCTTTATCTGTGATGAGATTGTTCAGCATTCACTGCCATATAAGAAAAGAAATATTACATAAGACTTAAGTACTTTTTCTTTGTTTCCAGTGAACTTTTCCTATTTCTTAATATATTGCTTAGCTTTGGAAGGCACTTTTGATACTGTAAATCGTTCGGCTCTCTGGAAGGTACTAAAGAACCTTGACTAAATATTTAACAGCATTCTTTCCTTTCACCGGAAAGTGAAAGCTGCTGATTATTTCTTTTTTGATCATTTCACCTCAAACAAGGCAATAAAGCCACTAAGATGCAAAGGGTTACTGAGTGTCAGAGAATATGAGAAAAAAAAGCACTATTAAGGAGAGAGAACAATAAAAGGATGGAAATTAAGAAGGCAGAAGATAACGATTGACATTGCATTTAAATTTTGAAAGATCAAAGTTGACTGTAAAAGCAATAAGACATAAGAATCATGTTCCACAAGTGAGAATTTCCAGAGAAAGAACTCTTAGCAGAAAACATATAGTTGCACTTAGCCATTTCAATAATAAAATAATGAAACTTGTTTGATGGGGAATTTTTCTGACTGACATTGCAAATGGCTCAAATCAAGTTATCTCATAACTCTGATATTTTTGCCAAGAAATTTTCTCTAAGTAAGCCTTTGACAATTTGGACAATGGCATGAGGCTGCAGTTTAAATGGTGGACTTTTTCTCCTCCTCGAGTTTCCAAGCTAAGATACTTTTAAGATCTAGTGTCACTGATGATCTGCTCTTTGCATATGTTGCAGCAATTGATGCTTCATCTTTACAAGAGGATCAGGAACTTGTAAATCAATTTTCCATCACAAGCAAAGATTTTGGGCTTATTATCGGCATAAAAAAGGCCAAAGTTGTTGTTTGTCATCCCCTACCCCTCACCCAAGCAGGTGAGGGAGATCAAACAAAAAGCATAAGCTCATCAGTTTTTGTTTATCCCTATCAAAATCGAGGAAAATGGCCTCAAATATGTGACGTTTTTCACTTAGGTAGGAAGCGATGTGAACTCTTACACTTGATAATGAAACTGTTCATCAAATAAGCCAAAACCTCTAAATTGTCTTTGAAATGAAAGCGACATTAAACTAGAAACAAAAATCAAAGTCTACAAAGCTGTCATCAAACACAGGTTTCATTTTTAAGGGAAAACATAAGTTGAAATCTTCACTGGGTAGACACGGGAAAGTAGAAGAAAGATTAACCGCAAGAAAGAATGTTTCCTTACTAAGGAATGTAAGACAAAATTTATAAAAGAGCTTTTTTCCAATACTGAAGATGATTTCTAACAAATGACAAGAAAATTATTCTTTGAAAAGTAAAAAAAAAAAATGTTCACAATTAATTGGTCAGATATGTGCAGGGTGGGGGTTGTCTTTATCAAAGTGGGAAAATATTTTTCTGATTTTAATGAGCAAAATCCATTATCCCAAAGAGAAGTCAATTTGATAAATCACACTGGCAATTAGAATGGAAGCTGTTTTATTGAGTGTTTAGAATTGAATGGGTTTCTGAGATTTTCAAAGAGGGAGAGATCAGTCACCGTTTAAATATCGCAAAAAGATATTGATTTGTATATAATTTATTGATGAATCAAAATACGAAAGAGCTCAATAAGTAGGTGTATCAAAGACAATTCATCTTGGCTAAAGCGACTATGACAGTCAAATTTGGAATGCTTTCTTTTTAAAAATTCATTATCTATCATTTTTCATAATTTGTCTTTGATTTTCAATGGATAATTTTGTTTTACATAATTGTATTTAGGATGAATGCTTACATATTTACCTACATATATGCACCCCCTCCACCACTTACTTCCATGTTTATCTATAAATATATACACCCAGACAAAAAATATATATATATATATATATATATATAGAATTTAATAATAAAAAAAATCAAACTTTTCACAAAGCAATATTTGTCAAAAAAACAGTTAAATCAATGAAAAATTGCACAATTTTGAAAAAAAAAAGAAAATGTAGGGCAATTTCAAACATAAAATGTTTTAAAAATTCTAACACACACACACACACACACACACACACACACACATGGAAAATATAGTTTTAAGGTTTTCTATATTTATGGGTTAAAGTGCTCAATATCAGGGATAGAGCAGATGTAAATATAAAAGTCAGTTTCATGCTAAATACAATCAACAAGCCTGACAATTGCGTTTAGAATGAAACAGTCACCTCTAGATGTTGACTTCAATGATCACTTATATATATATATATATATATATATATACACACACACAATGAAGGACAGTTCAAGTCACTACTGAAGTTCCATGCTCTCTCTTTCTCTCTAGAATGTTCTTGTCACCTGCAGATTGTCAGAGTGTAGCAACTTGAGCATTGTTGTGTGTCGAACTTGTGAAGCATTTTTGGCTGTCATGTGTATTGTTGAGCACTTTAACTTACTGTGTAAGTAGGTTTTAAGACCTATGGTCTTATTTCTTTTTTCTTTCTTTGTTCAGGATTTTTCCTTATTTAAGGTATTAGATCATTTGGTAAGTTGTCTGTTGATCTTACCAACATTGTTTGCTTTTTTTTAATGCGTGTATGTGTGCGTATTTAGGCAGCATATCTTCATTCAAACATGTTTTATTGAATAATGTGGACATAATGAATAGACAACTGGCAGGAATCAGTATAAAAATATGTTTCTCTCTCTCTCGATATATATATATATATATATATATATATAAATATATACATATATATATGTGTGTGTGAGTGTGTGTGTAATAGAAATTTGTGGAGATTTGAATAATTTCACATAATAATTCATCGAGTCTAGAACAAAAAATGTGTAACACAAAGCAAGGCATTGTGAAGTCAGCTAGTGTGTATATATATATATATATATATATATATATATATATATATATATATATGTGAGTGTGTGTGTAATAGAAATTTGAATAATTTCACATAATTCATCGAGTCTAGAACAAAAATGTGTAACACAAAGCAAGGCATTGTTAAGTCAGCTAGTGTATATATATATATATATATATATATATATATATATGTATGTGAGTGGGTGTATAATAGAAATTTGGGGAGATTTGAATAATTTCACATAATAATTCATTGAGTCTAGAACAAAAAATGTGTAACACAAAGCAAGGCATTGTTAAGTCAGCTAGTATATATATATATATATATATATCAGCAGCAACCTTTCTTTTAAACATGTTTCATTGAATATGACACACAAGGAAAATTTAATTAATTTTTTAATTAGTTTTTCCAGCATTCTTACATTCTTGGGTTTGGTGGGAGTGCAAAAATTGTGTGTGTGTATGTGTGTGCGTGTCTGAGTTGTTTCATAATGCATCAAACAATACACACTGTGTTTAACAGAAAAAATGTTGGGACAATTCCGTCTTACGGAAAACAAAATAAAGTAAATAATAAAGTATTTCAAATAAGAAAAGAGGGACAACATTGGTATGTTGAAATGGACATTGGTTACCAGTTTTGTGTCTTTTTTTTTTACCAGGTTTTTCCACTGGTGGGAAATTTAAAAACTGTTATCACAAGGAGCAAATTTCATTACAGCCTCAGTTGGATTTCCCTCAATATTTGCCAAAATTAATGAATGATCACAGAACATGCACTCTGCAGAAATTTCAAAAACAATATTAGTTTCTATATGAACAGATATTGCCAGACATAAAGAATAGATACTTAAATAAATAATACATATATAATTCTTTAATACATACATAAATAATACATATATAAAGAATTTTTTTAATTTTATTATGTTAGAATAATTATTTGCTAAATTCTTTTCAAAGAGTTCATTTACAAAGAACCAAAAGATTGCCTATGTACTTTTCCAAATTTTATTGAATTAATTAAAAAATAATCAATAATTGCTTTCAATCTGATTAATAGACATGTAAGAAAGTTTGCCCACGACTTTATAAGATCAAATAGAATTTATTAATTCTACTGGTTAGTGTTACAGTTGCAAATATAATATATATAAAATTAAATAGATGTGTGCATATGTGCATGTATGTATTACTTTCCAAAGTTACTATTCTTTGATACTAACAGAACACAAATTTTTCTCATTCAAGACTGCTTTATAAAACAAAGAAAGTGTATTTGACAAAGTTTGGATTTT